AAAAAGAAAAAAAAAAAAAAGAAAAACATAGACCGAGCATCAAGTTTATGCAATGAAATACATCAACTAAGTTTCTTGACAACTTATAGGTTACTTTTTTGTAAGGACTATAAGTTGTCAAGAAACTTATAAGCATCACAAGACTTTAAACACATGACCAATCGGTTTATGCAAACTTTAGACAAAGTTAGATATATATATATATATATATATATATATATATATATATATATATATATATATATATTGACAACTTAGACTATTAAAAAATATATACCAAGCATCACAAGACTTTTTTTTTTTTTTTTGAAATATGGCGTACCAGTATATTAATTCAAGAATTGAATGATAGAGTCAGGAGGGATTAAATCCCAGTACATAGAATGATCCTGATCATGGGCTAATCTAGCAAGAGTATGCGCATGTAAATTTAAAGTTCTCGGAATAAAACTAATCGAACAATAAACAAAGCTACTAATAGTTGTCCTGCACTGCTCAATCACAATTCCAACATAAGATAAGTTCGGTGTAGTTACTGCATGAACCGCATTCCTTAAAACAAGACAATCCGTAAGAATATCCACCTCGTTCTCGTTCCGGTCTTTAAGCCAAGACAAGGCTTCCTTGCATGCCAGCGCTTCTGCCATAATAGGAGTTAAACACCCCGGGAGTTTTCCGTTCGCCGCTGCTTTGAACAAACCATTTGGACTGAGTAAAACCGCCCCATAAGTTGCATTTCCCGTGCCCGGATCGTATCCGACATCGACATGGCACGTCGTCCGGCCGGCTGCCACTGTCACCACCCCGCCAGCCGATGCCGTCACTGGCCGGGAATGCAGTGCCGTGTAGCTCGCCTCCCCCGCAGCTGCACGGTGCCACACCACCTCCGGCCTCCGTACCGCATGTTCCCAGACCGCCTCGTTTCTGGCCATCCATAAAAAATAGAGGACCCCAACAACGCGTCTGACCTGCTCGCCTGTGAGCATATCCATAACAGTCATAAGCCAGTTCGGGAAAGACGTTGAAAAAATATTCATAATAGGCAATCCCGAAATATTCCACACAGCTCTAGAATAATCACATAAAACTAATGAGTGCATAACATTCTCATTTGTAAGACCACACAACATGCATGTTGGGTTCACATCTACCCTCTTCATGATCAAATTTGTTGTGGTTGGGAGTATATCACACACCGCTCCCCATAAAAAAGTTTTCCACTTGGGGGGACTTTCAACTTCCACAATGTAATCCATCTATCAAATTCTCCCAAACTGTGATTAAATTCTCCCATTAGACGCCTATAAGCATCCTTTACTGTGTAGCAACCATTCACATCATTATGCCAATACCATGTGTCTTTATAGTCTGGGCTCACAGGTATTTTCAAAATACGATCCACATCCTCAGGTTCAAATAAATCTGTTAAAATATGGGGGTCCCATGTTTTCGTCTGCTGATCTATCAAGCCTGCAACAACTGCATCCCTTAATGGTTCAGGCATTACTGTTTGTACCATAGGACTAGGATTATCCTGCAACCACGGATGACCCCATATCAAAGTTTCCTGGCCATTTCCAATTCTCCTGCGGACATGGGCAATAACAAAATCATGAGCAGCCATAATACTTCGCCAACAAAAACTGGGATTATTTCCTACCACTGCATCAACAAAAGAAGTTTTAGGGAAATATCTTGCTTTATATATTCGTGTTGCCAGTGATCCTGGATTTGTTAAGAAACGCCATGCCTGTTTACCCAACATTGCCAGATTAAAATTCCTCAGATCTTTAAACCCCAATCCACCAAACTTCTTAGGGATACACAATTTATCCCATGCTTTCCAGTGGATTCCTCTGTCTGGTCCTTTCCCCCACCAATATCTATTAATGGCCCTTTGTATCGACTCGCAAACTGATTCAGGGAGCAAAAAAACACTCATTGAAAATGTGGGCATAGACTGAGCTACACTTTTCAAAAGTACCTCTTTACCAGCCTGTGATAACAATTTCTTGTTCCACGAGAAAACTCTTTGTCTGATTTTATCTTCTATATAAGAGAAAACAGCCCTTTTATTTCTCCCTATAAAGGAGGGTAGCCCCAGATATTTTCCCAAGTTTCTTGCCCGTTCCACGCCCAGGCATTCTGCCACTTCCTCTCTCATCTGTTCCCCAGTATTCTTACTATAGCATATATCGGATTTATGATAGTTGACCAACTGACCAGATAACTCCCCATACCTTTCCAAACACTGCTTAACCACCGTAGCTTCCTGGACATTTGCTTTAAAGAACAACAAACTATCATCCGCAAAAAACAGGTGTGATATTGGGGGGGCTCCCCTAGCCACTCTACAACCATGAATAGACCCTACTGCCTGCTCTTTCTGCAAAAGCATGGATAAGCCTTCAGCACAAATAATAAATAAGAAAGGTGAAAGTGGATCCCCCTGTCTGAGACCCCTTGTTGGCTGCACCTGGCCTCCACTCACGCCATTGACCATCACACTGTATGATACAGTGGTAACACATGTCATTATCAGCTTAATCCACCTTTCATCAAAACCCATTACTTCCAGCATCTTTTCTAAGAATGGCCACTCCATTCTATCATAGGCTTTCGCCATATCCAGTTTTAGCGCTCCCCACCCAGCCATTCCACACTGTTTACGATTCAAAAAGTGGCACACCTCTGCCGCCACAAGTATATTATCCGTTATAAGCCTACCTGGGATGAAGGCACTCTGAGATTCTGAAATCAGGTCCCCCAGCATAGGTTTCAACCTGTTGGCAATCATTTTTGCCATAATCCTGTACAGTACATTACTCAGGGCAATAGGCCTTAAATCCGCCACAGTTGTAGAATTACTCTTTTTCGGGATCAAAACGATATTGGTTTCATTCAAATCTCTGGGGATTTCACCTGAATTCAAGTAATTAATAGCAAAAGTAGACACATCCTCTCCAACTATATCCCAAAACCGCTGATAAAATCCGGGATTCATCCCATCCGGTCCCGGTGCCTTGTCAGGATACATGGCAAATAAAGCAGTTTTAACCTCGGCCACATCATAGGGACACAACAATGCGTCATTTTGGTCAGTTGTCACACGGGGCCCAAACTCATCAAATAAAGGGTCCTCACACACAGGACTACTAGTAGCAAAAATTGTATTGAAATAGTTGATTACTACATTATTCATATCCTGTCCCTCCACCCATACCCCATTTTCATTCAACAACTTAGAAACAGAATTCTTTTTCTTTCTAGCAGAAGCATACCTGTGATAATATTTCGTATTCGCATCTGCGCCACGAAGCCAATGCTGCTTCGCTCTCTGCCTCCAAAAGACATCTTCCTGGGCTTCTAACTGGGAGATCTGGTTATTCAACAGTTGGAACTGAGCCAAAGATGCCGGATCCCTCCTACCACGGATCCGCCCCTGCTCCCTGCGGAGTCGCCGGATATGTTCTCCGAACTTATGAAAGTGGTCACCGCCCCAGCGCATCAGTCTATCCCCACATCGTTGCTGACAATTCAACAACCCCTCTGTCCTCCCCCCTTGCCAGGCATTTTCCACCACATCCCTACACCCCTCATCCAGCAGCCATGCCATCTCAAACCTGAACCTCCTCGGAACCCTTCCTCCTCCCCTTTTTCGTGCATTCATATCAAGAAACAGAGCTGAATGATCCGAGTTATTAGTAATTATGTTCTCCACACCCGCCCCATCATGCACATCACACCAGTCCATCGTTGCCAATACCTTGTCCAGTCTCTCCTCGAGCCATTTATCCGTCCCACTATACTTTTTCCATGTGAACTGATACCCCCTCATAGGTAACTGGCGCAACCCACACTCATCCACAGCTTCACTGAAACCCCGGAGAAAACTATCTGGATGCATGAACAAGATTAATTATAAACGAACAATAATAATTGACTCTCTAAGTTAAATGTCACGTTTTCATTACAAAAACAAGTTTTCATTTCAAAATTAAAATGTATATATTTCAACAAACTTAAAATTAAAACTTTATATTACATTGCTATTTTTTAGATCGAATATATAATATACATTGAATTGGGTATTTATTTTTCTGTGCAAAGGAGGGGGATCACCCTACTAAGCCATATTCATAGTCTCATCCAATTCGAGGAATCCCCAAAAAGTCCTCAGTGAATACTTTGAGAACCTCGCCCTTCAATTGATCCAAACCTCATAATTCTCCGACCCTGAGCAAGCACTTGTTTAGCCAAAAGATTTGTCACACAGTTCTGCTCCGGGAAAATATGAGTAAACTTGATTTGCCAATTTTTGAAGAACTACTTGTCACATTCTCTAATGATATTAGCCGCTGGGTCATTCCCGACATCTTCACAACAATTATGATTCAAACAATCAACAATGATACATGGGCATTTAAATTAGCAAAAATGCTAGCACAAAATAAAAAGAGTTGACTCTTCTCATAATTAATCAAGACTACTTACAAAAACTAACATTTCAGGAAGTCCATCTCTTTAATTTGCTCGTCAGACACGGTTTATATATAATAGCATGCTTATGCAACGGAACAAGACTTGAAAAACATGAAAAAAAAAAAAAAAAAAAAATTAGATTTATAATCACAGCAAGACTTGAAAGGTATATATGGACAAGATTAGTCATCACAACAAGACTTACCAATTAAAACTAAGACTAATATCTGGAACTCCATGCATCTTTCAACACTTGCTCTTAATTCTGGCATTTCTTTGCACAACAGACACGGTGCCCAATCTTGGGGTTAAAATAAAGAATGTACGAATGTTACGTTATTGTAGCTATGGAAGGTTCCGTTTAGACTTTAGATGACAATTCATGGTTTTAAATATGCTCATGCTTATACAAATTTCAGAAAATTCTACAGCTCAATAACAATTCAAACAAGTCTGCTGATAAAATGAGGATTCTAATGTTTACCTGGATTTCCATACTTCTACTGTTCTCAAATTCATTCAGAATACATGCAATGCATGTATCTGCAGGCCAGTGTTTTCGGGGTGAAAAGACTGTGCTTCTCCAGATACGAACCCAACTCACTTACAAGTCTTCGGCATCCACCAAGTTGGTGCAGTGGGATGAAAGAATTGACTGCTGCCGGTGGCCTGGTGTGAGTTGCAACGATGCTGGATATATTAGTGGTCTTCATCTCAGCAACGAGCCAATCACCGGGGGAGCCAACCTGTCTCTCTTGCAGAAACTGCCATCCCTTTCTGTTATTAGGCTTGATGGGATCAACTTCTCTGCTCCATTTCCAGACTTCTTTGCAGATTTCACCAATCTCACTGTTTTGAGCCTGGAGAGTTGCAACTTCACAGGAACAGTCCCTCAGAAAGTATTCCAGGTACCAACTCTGCAAACCATTAACTTAGATTTCAATGAAATGCTTGAGGGTTCTTTCCCAAACTTCCCAGAAAATGGATCTCTTCAGAGTCTCACACTTTATAAGACAAAGTTTTCTGGGGATTTACCTGAGTCGATTGGAAACCTCAGACTGCTGTCCCAAATTGACATTACAAGTTGTGATTTTAGTGGAGCAATCCCTGCTTCTTTTATACAGCTTACCAAGCTTGTTGTGCTGAGTTTGAGTGGGAATCACTTCAGTGGTTGGATTCCATCGTTTAAACGGTTTAAGAACCTGAGCGTTATAGATCTTTCTAATAACGATTTTGCAGGTGAAGTTCCCTCCTCTCACTGGGATGGCCTTGACAATCTTGAATATATAGACATGAATGAAAATTCATTTTCAGGGCCCATCCCAGAGTCACTATTTTTCTTGCCATCACTTGAAAACTTAGATCTTTCTAGGAACAAATTTTCTGGTCAGATAAGTGATTTGCAAAAGATGATGACTTCTCCATTGGCACTTGTTGATTTGAGTGGCAACAACTTGGAGGGGTCAATAGTCAATACCTTCCTTCTTCTTTAAGCTTCAGAATCTTAGAACACTCTTTCTTTCATCAAATAAATTCGAGGGCACTATACATTTAACCAAATTTAAAAAGCCTGAGAATATTGAGTTTCTTGACTTTTCCCATAACAGCTTGGTAGTTGAGACAAGCATACAAGCAGAAGAACTTCCCCTCCTCCCTCAATTTCTATATTTGAAGTTAGCCTCCTGCAAACTTGATAAATTTCCCAATTTTCTGAAAAATCAGTCTAAACTGATCAATTTGGATATCTCCAGTAATGACATAAGTGGGGAAATTCCAGGGTGGATATGGGGATTCAGTAATGGGAAACTCCAATATCTCAATCTTTCCCACAATCATTTGACACATATGCAAGAGCCAAAGGAGTATGGTTCTCTTCTTTACCTTGATCTAAATTCTAATATGCTAAGTGGACAGATTCCACGACACCACCCAAGGCTGAGTATTTGGACTTGTCCAACAATAAATTCTCCATGATTCCTTTTGATATTGCTGATCAAATCCCACATGTCTATTTCTTTTCCATTGAAAAAAATAGAGTTAGTGGAAGGATCCCATCTTCTTGGTGCCATGCAGCAAATCTGGAAGTGCTCGACTTGTCCAACAACGCATTGCATGGCACAATACCATCATGTCTGGTTCATAATAACACCAATCTCACTGTGATGAATCTTAAAGGAAACCATTTAAGTGGTGAGATACCGCAAAAGTTTCTACCCACTTGTTCTTTTGTGACATTGGATCTTAGTCAGAATCTCTTAGAAGGGCAGCTTCCTCCATCCTTGGTCAACTGCACAAAGCTTAAGGTCTTAAATCTTGGGAACAACATAATAAGTGATACCTTTCCTTGTTGGCTCAATAAATTGTCTAAACTGCACATACTCATATTGCGTTCCAATCGTTTTGATGGAAGCATTTCTTGCCCCGAGCATGGGGTAAACAACAACAGTTGGCCAAGCTTACAAGTCATTGACATATCCTCCAATAATTTCAATGGAAATTTACCAACTGATTTATTCTTGGAACTAAAAGCTATTTTGGTTGATGATAGAAATGAAGCAAATTCAACAGTTGACTACTTGCACTTCACATCTCCAACACTTGGCAGTGTTTACTATCAAGACTCAGTTTCACTTTCTCTAAAAGGACAAGGTTACACCATATACAAAATTTTGTCTATCTTCACCTCTATTGATTTTTCAAGTAACCAATTTGAAGGGGGTATACCAGAGATTGTTGGTGAGCTTAAACTGTTATATCTCCTTAACGTTTCCCACAATGCACTGACAGGCAATATTCCTCCCTCTCTTGAAAACTTGAAATCTTTAGAAGCACTGGACCTGTCATTCAATAGCCTAACAGGAAACATCCCAGAGCAGCTAGAGAGCTTAACCTTCTTGTCCTCCTTAAACTTATCATACAACAATCTGGTTGGAAGGATTCCACAAGGCAAACAATTTAATACCTTCGATTCAAGCTCGTTCATGGGAAACAAGGGGCTATGTGGATTCCAACTTAATGTATCTTGCAATCGCATTCACAAACCAGCATCTTCACTACCAAAATCAGAAGAGAAAGAGTCAGCTTACCATGGTGATATCAACGCAAGCGTTGCAGTAGGATTTGTTGTGGGTCTAGGAGGAATATTTTTGCCACTTTTGTTGTCCAATAAATGGAGATTATATTATAATAAGAAGATTGATGGAGTACTGTTGAAGGTTTTCTTTCAGAGAGGTAAGGGGAGAAGAAAGAACTCTCCTTAACAAAATCAATCAACAAGTCCCATGCAAGGCTACTTTGTTTTTATGTAGTATTAAGTGTGATTGTTCAACTTAGTGTGTAATCATGGATGTCTATCTAGTGTGGTGCCTTTTTTCCTTTTCTTTTTAATTTCCTCAATGTCATATGTTTTTGCTTAATTGTATTTGGTTTTATTGGGTCAAATGTCATCATTGTTGTAATTTGGATTATTGATTTGTGCCATTGTGTATAATGTTTTCACTCCTAAATTTAAATTTACATGTCTCATGGCAACCTATGAAAGAATGAATTGTATGTAACAAAATGTTATGGGAAAGAATGAAGTTCAAACAAGTTACCTAAACATAGAATACAATTAAATTAAAGGTAGGAATAGAATATGCCCCTCACTGCCAATAAAATTAAGTTAAAATATATTACAAATTTACTAGGAAATAATTTATAATACACTAAAAATGAATTAGTATCAAAATATAATAAACATGTAATACAATAATGTTGGTCCCGGTAGGGTCGAAAGGAGAATCTAGAGGGAGGGGGGGTGAATAGACTCAATTCGTTTTTCACGAAAATAACTCCTTTCGGGGTTATTACGCAGCGGATATGTGATGTAAGTTTTAAGTTTCTTTGCACTATTTGATCTTTTAGAAGACTTTCGGTTAGAGTCGTATGATATGTTGTGCACGAAAGTAAAGTACTGAAATGTAGAGAGATAGAGACAAGAAATTTTTATAGTGGTTCGGTCAACTGTGCCTACTCCACTCTTCTTTCACAACTTGTGAAAGGTTTGCACTATCACTCCTAGTACAAATTACACCAAGATAGCTTCCTTGATCACTAAGGCGGATAGCTACTTGAAGGTTTTTCAACTCCTAGAGTTTACTCCGCCTCTATCAACGTCTTCTTCAAAGTTGAAGGTTGGATGTGAATAATCTTCGAGTTTCTCCAACACGGTGAAGTCTTGACTGGCTGGTAACTTGATGAATAATCAGCGTGTACTAAGTTGCAAGACTTCTTCAAGGTTGTGTGAATGAAATCAGATATACCTTCTTCAAATATCACACCTTGAATCACTGGATTTCAAAAGCTTAACAGATTGTTCTTAGTTTAAGGAGCTTTTGAGAATAAGTATTCGATTGTTCTAAAAGCCAGCAACTTCTATCATGAAGAAGATGGGTATTTATAGGTGAGAAGAAATCCATCCGTTGGAGGGAGATGACATTTCACACATATGATCGTGGTTAATAACCGTAGAGCCTTGTGCATTTATTGCTTCATTAAATGCAGTTGTACTATATAGACGTTGGAGATAAGCACTTTTGCTTATTTTTTCTTCTAGCTCTGAAAAGTAATACTATGGCATTTAATGCACCTTGATAAGTGTGCTCTCATTCCTAGGAAAGATTAATTCCAAGGATGATCTCCAGATGGGACAGTTGACAACATTCTTCTTGAGTTGAGAGAAGATGAATTGTCTTGACAGGCACACCTTGAAGAAAGTAGTCTCTAGACCGGGAGACTTCTTTCACCTTCTGCTTTCGGTTGAGAGAGATCATCTATGCTTTCGTGGTCAGCTTCATAAATTCTTCTTTCGTTCTACAAAGCCTAACTTAAGAGATCATAACTCGATTTCGTGTGTTTGACTAGCTTAACACGAATTACATGGTGAGAGTTATGGTACCTTTCGTCTAGAACGAAGGTAACAGAATAAAAGATAAAAAGTTAGGAGTCTACTTCTAAGTTACATTGGTATCATCAAAATCCTAATACATATGCTCCTAACAAGTAAAAATGAACATGTATGTCATGGTATAAGAATTGGTTTGTTCACTAAACCTCAATATCTTTGCTATGGCACTAATCTAATTCATAGCAACGACCCATCCATGTGTTTTGATCCAAATCCATCCCACTTACATTATGCATTAATCTTATCAATTTTTTTGTTTAACTCACCGTGGAATGTAATTGGAAGATAAACGTTCTGTCGCCACATTCTTGTTTTAACAAGATCCGTTTGGTTTTATTAGGCAATTTATATCATGGACCAGGTGTACAGTCCAATACACAAAATTTGACTTCATAAAATATAAAATTTATGTTCATAATGTACAAAATTCATATTTATAATACACATACACAAAAACACAATATAATGAACATGAATTTTGTGTATTATGTTTCGTGTTTATGTGTCCTTAATTATATAATACACAAAATTCATTTTCATAATGCACAGAAATCATGTTTATTAAATTGTATTTGTGTGTATGTATATTATGAACATGAATTCTATATATTGGACCAACTGTGGACCCTAGTCCACGATATAACGATTGAGTTTTATTATATTTTCATCAATTTCAGATATATATATATATATATATATATATATATATATATATATATATATATATATATATGTAATTTTGTATGTTTGACTGAGTTGTGTGTAGGCTTGGATGTCAACCATGGTGTTCTTTATTTCATTATTATGATTTTGTTAGGGGTGTTTGACGTGACCTTATCATATTTAGTATCTTATTGTTTAAGTACAATAAAGTTAATTTCAAAATTAAAGATTATTTCCACAATAGTGGGGCCTCATTTTGCGACTTTGGTTTGCACCCTGTGCAAAAAAATAGATAAATAAAGTTGTAGTTTCACTACTAGTTATAGGTTTTAGTTTAGTGGTAAACACTTATCGTGACAATAACATTAAGGCAGGTTACGATCGGATTTAAAAAGGAGATTGTTGGGCGACGGCTAAAGTTACGCTTTTACTACTAGTTACAAAATTTCACACTGTAATTGAGACTTGAGATACAACAAAATTACATAAGAAAATAAGGGAACAAAAACGGGATCATTTGATATTTTCAGGCGTGTAATCATTTTCATATAAGTTTTAAATTTATCTCAGAAAAAGCAACAATGTTCAAGATTCAAACTTAGATGAGATACAAGAAGATGAATGAAATTATTAAGTTGCTTTGTTTGCAATTTTGCATACAATACGTAACCTATGGAGATACATTTATATTACGAAATTCAGGTAGTACATGATTTATGTAATTATATTTTTCCATGATTGATATTTAAATATATCTTTTGGAAGTTAGAGTTTTAAACTACCCCAATTTCCATGTAACTTCTCTTAACAGCCAGAGATGCATGCAATTACAATTTAAACAAAGCAACTTAAGAATTTCATTCATTTTCTTGTACCTCTTAAGCTTGGTTGCTTATTAAAAATTATTACCTGAAATATCAAATGATCTCGTTTTTAATTTGTTCCCTTATTTCCTGCTGTAATTTTGTTAAATCTCAAATATGTAATACAAATCTACTCTTTACATAATTCTTTAATGCAAACTTAGCCCAAACCTTAATTTCAAACCTTAGCTACTTTCCACATTTGACATCAAGACAAGTCACAAAAGAAGATTGTTAGGAGCTACATAATTCCACACCCTAATTAAGACTTTAGGAGCAACTCAAATTGAAGTCACTAAGCATTGCTATCAATACTTAAAAGTCAGACATTAGGGGCAACTCAGTTTCTGGCTCCACACGGTTTAATTTAATTTAGAGGACTCAATCCAGACGCAACTAATCATCTTTTCTAATATATAAATCTATGCTTATGCATGAACCCATTCACCGCAACAACAAACAAACAACATAACTCGATCTGCACATAAAATGAGGATTCTCATGTTTACCATTATGCTTCTTCTCTTCTCAAATTTATTCAGAATAAATAATGTCATGCATGCATTGGGTGAGTGTGTTCCGGATCAAAAGTCTGTGCTTCTCCAGATACGAAGTGAAATCACTTACGATTCTTCGTCATCCACCAAGCTGGTGCTGTGGGATGAAAGAGTTGACTGCTGCCACTGGCCGGGTCTGAGTTGCAATGGTTCTACTGGATATATTACTACTCTTGACCTCAAAGACGATGATTCAATCACCGGTGGCTTCAAAATGTCTCTCTTGCAGAAATTGCAATCCCTTTCTGTTATTAGGATTCATTGGGTCCACTTTTCTGCTCCATTTCCAGACTTCTTTGAAGATTTCAAAAATCTGACTGTTTTGAGCCTCATAGGTTGCAACTTCAGTGGAACAGTTCCTCAGAAAGTATTCCAGGTACCAACTCTGCAAACCATTGACTTAAGTTACAATTTCATGATTGGGGGTTCTTTGCCAGACTTCCCAGAAAATGGATCTCTCAAGAGCCTCACACTTCGGGGGACAATGTTTTCTGGGAATTTACCCGAGTCCATTGGAAACCTCAGATTGCTGTCCTATATTGACCTTGCAGGTTGCTATTTTAGTGGACCAATCCCTGCTTCTATTACTGGCTTAGACAATCTTGAGACTTTAGACTTGAGTGAAAATTTGTTTTCAGGGCACATCCCAACACCACTGTTTTCCCTACCTTCACTTAGAGAGTTAATCCTGTCCAATAACAACTTTTCTGGTCAAATAAATGAATTGCAAAAAGTGAGTTCCCCACTGGAATCTCTTGATTTGAGCAACAACAACTTGGAAGGGACAATACCTTCCTTCTTTCAACTTCAAAATCTTACATCACTCCATCTTTCATCAAACAAATTTAATGGCACTATACATCTAACAAAATTTAGAAACACTGCTGACAACATGTCTTTTTGATTTTTCCAATAACAACTTGGTAGTTGAGACAACCATAAGCGCGGCACAACTTCCCTTTTTTCCTCAATTTATACATTTAGGATTAGCCTCGTGCAATCTTCAGAAGTTTCCTAGTTTTCTAAAAAACCAACCTAATTTGCGGTTCTTAGATCTTTCCAACAATGCTATTAGTGGAGAAATTCCTAGCTGGATATGGGGAATCGGTAATGGGAAACTCATTGTCCTCAATCTTTCTCACAATCATTTGACGCATATGAAAGACCCAATGGAGTACAATTCTATTCATTACCTTGATTTAAATTCTAATATGCTAAGTGGACAGATT